AGTATAGCCCTAAAGTAGTTGCTGGATGTAAATAAATTTTTATTTAGATAACACAGAGGTACAATTATTTTACTTTAGGGGTCACAGTACCTTTGCAACAACTTTTTTTAAAAATAAAGTCATAATCATTCATTTTGTGGATGTTTCACATGCTCATTTAACTTATAATCAATAATTTATCTTCAAAAAATAATTAAACTGTTTAATTTTTTTAAAATTTAAAAAAAAATTGAAAATTTTTAAATCTTTAAGGCTTTTTTATTTTAACATGTTCTCAAATTTTCTTTTCTAAGTGCTTGCAATATTCATCTTAACAATTTTGTGCATTCATTTTGTGATATATCAATTAGAATATTTTTTATAGATTATTTTGTGAAAACGTAGACAAAAAAAGGTTAAAAATTCCTGTTAGGTATACATAACATGCTGTAAAAATTGTAATATCTCATAAAATGCTTATTCCATGCACAGTTTAAATAAGTGTATTATACTTAAGATAAAAAAAGTGTACTTCAAAGCGTTATCTTAAATAGGTAAAATTCCTCACGAAATACTAAATCTTCTCATCCAATACCTGAGAAATTATCAATGAATATAAAGATTCTAAATAGTAATTTATTCTAAAAATGTTACGAAATACTAAATCTTCTCATCCAATAGCTGGGAAATTATCAATGAATATACAGATTCTAAATAGTAATTTATTCTAAAAATGTTACGAAATACTAAATCTTCTCATCCAATAGTTGGGAAATTATCAATGAATATACGGATTCTAAATAGTCATTTATTCTAAAAATGTTACGAAATACTAAATCTTCTCATCCAATAACTGGGAAATTATCAATGAATATACAGAGTCTAAGTAGCAATTTATTCAAAAAATGTAACACAATGTAGCACATCCTTAAAAAATCACTCAGTTAGAAATGATATTTCTTCTCATTTAAATACTTTATATAAATACTTTCAGAACTAGCATCGAAACGACAAAAAATGAATCGTTATACTCGTAATTTTGTCTTTTTTTTAAAGTCAAAAACCTTTAAGGCGAGGTGAGAATTCATTACAAAAACCTTTACTTAAAATTAACTTTAAAATTAGGGATTATCTGACCTATTATTTTGATTATTATAAGATTTAAAACGATAAAAACCAGATAATATTCCAATGTTCTGAACGAAAAAGATAATTTCTTCTAAAGCATTAGCATCAAGCTGTCAACAATTCTTCTTCCATGTTCTAAAAATGTCTAAACAGAACAGTCATGCTTAAAGGAATAAAAGGGAGAATAACATAAATGCTGCAGTTACAAGAATGAGCGAAGCATGACTGGGTTATCTGTTTTAAGTTCGAATCATTGTTGATTATGTAGTTATGGTAAGTGGTAAGGCAAATGGGAACATTTACTCATCATTATTCATCTAAAGGAAGGATTTGAAGTTATATATTTCTTTTAGATACATTTTCCCAACCTGAAGAAAAGACATAAAATTCATAACCAATATAATTGTGAGGATTATAAATTCTGTATTGAAAGAGTTTATCCTTTGCAGAATTTCGAAAAGTCATGAAACACATTGGATTTAGGAAAATAGAAGAAAACTGTGGTTTTTCAAGGACCATAGTTGTTTAGAGTCGTTGATCTATTTTCCTCTACCACTAGTCATTAAATGCGGGTCTTTATTATTATTTTCACCGTACAGTGGTTCCATGATGATTTAATATTTACTTTAGAAATATAATTTAGTTTTTGAACTTCGGAATTGATAATGTATTGACGGTAGATGTTATTCTATTCCTCATACTCGGTGCTAATATTACGAATAACGTTGATGCTTATCTCTATATCATTTCAATTTGTTCAAAATATCTTTATCTCCATTACACTGCGTGAAAGTTATTACAACGCTCTGAATGATGTTTGATCTAATGTTGGGTTTTTCATGTAATAAGAGGCAATCTTTCGCTTGAATTCACTCATTGGATATGTTAATTAAATAGTTTTAACTATTAAATAAATTGCGCACTTACACAAAACTAATTTCTTGTCTCTGCACATATTTCCATCGGGTTTGGATTATTTTGTGAAATAATAATTCGAGATAGTTTAGTTCAGAAAACATGTCCCAAGAGTTTAGTGCAGGAGACAGGTCCAAATAGTTTAGTTCAAAAAGCAGGTCCCAATAGTTTTGCACTAGAGAGAGGTCCCAATAGTTTGATTAATCGATCCTCGACTCAGCTAAGACCCACCGGGTACATGCTATATACGTACTCGTAAAATCTGTGGAATTGAAAAACTCCTGTGGTCAGTCGCTGAGCAGTACCATGGCTACAGGCATCTGGAGAAAAATTCCTTCCCCTTCAGATCTATGTCTAAATTGATGAAGTGACCTCACGAATTGTGATGATAAGCGTTTGGATCATCTTCAGAGATGTTTCCCACATTCGCACAATAACCATTGTGCAGAATTAAACGTTAATGAAATACCTATCTACCAATTGGTAACAAAAGTAATGATAAAACCATTTAAACCGCAATTTCTTTTGATGTTACTGCTCAATAAACATAAAACATATTGAATTATCTAAGAGTGAAGAAAGAGTGACAGGACCACATTAGAAGTCCTGGATGTAATCAATGATCAAAAGAATAGTGAAATCTGAATTGCTTACTCATATTGAAAATTTGAAGCGTACATTGTAATATTATTTAGAAATCTGAGTTTCATGTATATTCATAAATCGTATTGAAAACAGTGTTTACGCGTTTTGAAAACTGCTGTAATAGGTGATTTATTTTGGAATTGATACAAATGGTATTATTCGTATTCTTTTTTATTTATTTATTTTTTGCTTGCTCTCTGGACGTATAAAAAAGGACACAAATTGTTAAAAGATCCCGAAAAACTTTTTTTTACAGTAATTAAAGATCGTGATGTAATTCTAAAGGCTGAAGAACAAAATGTTCGAATTTCATGACATTATTCTTGAAAAGCAAAATTGCAAAATCTAAAAAAGCACTGAACGAATATCCTAAGTTTATGCGCAACATTAAAAGATGTCATTTGAGAAAAAAAATGTATTTTAAACCTAAAATAATACTTTTACTTTAATGACATAAAAAAAAATTGCTTATTACTCAGTTTCATAATTCTATTTAAAGTAATATAGAGCGTCGATTGTATATATTTTCCATTTTTGTTAATATCTTATTCATTCCAGTTTCATTGCCAATTCTTTAAAATCCTCATTTTTTCCACAGATATTTAGATACGATTCTCATGAATCGAGCATTTTTTCTTATTCTCTTTACGGTCCAGTTATTTAGATTAGAAAAACACTTGATATTAAACGATTATTTAAATCAAAGAAGAAAAACACTGAGTTAAATACTATTTTTAAATTTTGCTCATTAAATTACCAGTGGTTTTAAATGAATAATAGAAAAAAATTGTATTTTTTTAAAAAAAAAACTTTATGCATCACTTAATGCGCAGTTATCTGCTTTCAATGTTTACTTAAGACAATGATTTCAATTTCTGATTTCAATTTTAGACAAGAAAAAATTTAAAAAAAAAGAAATAATTTCCGAAATCTCTAGTTGCTGTTTATATAGACCGTAAAGGAATTCTACCTCTTTTAAATCTCAATTATTCATTCCATTGAATTGAATGTGTATAAAATATGTTAAACAATTTTATACATTTTTTTGTGCATAATTTTTATCTACCTTGTGCTAGTTTTACAGTACACAGGTTAGATTATTCCTAATTTTTGAAATAATAGTCTCTGTGTCTGATTGAGTCAGAGTCGCAGACAAATTTGAATTTATGAAGATTGTGCAGCAGATTAACTCTGTAAATTCTGCTACTAGCTTTGGTCATAAAAATGAGTTAAAAAATATTTTTGGTACGTTGTGCCAAAAACGAAAATTCTAAACCTAAATTTTGATATTGATGCTAGGTGAATTAGTTTGACAAATGTATTAAAGATATAAATATTACAGGCTGAAATTATGTATCAACAACTAGAAATTCTGAATGGTTATATATTGATATAATCGGAATAATTGCAGAATCACAATTTTTGGTCAAACAAACCAATAAAAAGTCCCAAGTGTGTGTGGGTGGGTGACAATAGCATCTAAATTAGGTTTAATTAAGCTAAGATTTAAAGCAAAATTCTTGTACGCATTCTGAGGTCGCCAGACCTTCACAAATCTTGAAGGCTGTCCTCAAATTTCATTGATTGTCCTCAAAACTCTCAAATTCTTTAGGAACAAAAAATATTCCCAAATTTTTACAAGTCTTCTCAAATGTACTCGAATTTCTCCAATAATTTATCTACTGATAAATTTTCAAAACAAATTCGAAATGCGCATGATTTTTAAGCTAGATGGCTTTGTCTTACAGTGAAAACAAACGAAAAGCAAAGAAAAGAAAACCTTGCTAAAAGTAGCAGATGAAAACACAACACTCATCTTAAAGTAATTATAACAAAAAATAGACAAATTTTAATATAACATCGCATTATACGATATTTTAATACTACATAGTAATGAAATCAAGTGTGATGCATCTGATATCAGTTATACATTTTTTTTAAAAAATAAATCTTTGCATACATAAGTTAACATTTTTCTTAAAAATCTGGTGTCCTAAAATCGTATAATGGTAATCGTAAGTTTGTTCTCAAATCATGGTTTATAAATCTGGTCATCTTCACATATGCCAAATTATGTATAAAAATACTTCATTTAGTAAATATTTATAATATTTACGAAAATAAATATTTATAATATTTAAAAGTTAAATATTTATTAAAAATATATACTATAAAAAAAGGTAACATTCACGTCAGAGTTCATAAGATATTTTAAATATTATTAGGGTGAGTATTATAGGTATTATAAGTTAATTTATAAGTATGATATTTGTGGCTTATTATTATTTAATGCAAGTAATTAGTACTAAATTATAATTTTGTTTCTTCGACAGGGGGACAACTTGCGAACTAGACAGGATGAAGATGTTGATGTTTTCATGCTAAATAGTCTTTCACAAGAAGATAATTCTTCAAAAAAACCTTCATCAACGAAACGATTCACTGAAATGAAAAATGAAGCGAAAGAATCGAAAAGTGTTCCTGTTCAAGAAAATACAACTTCACAAACGCCTTCCAAACAGCCATCACCTTCTGATATTTTATCAAAGCTCATATCAGACATTCCCATTCCAAAGAATTCGAAAAACTTTGTTGTATTTGCGCCGGTAGCTGATACAAAGAATGATAAGAAATCACTTCAGGCCAGAAGATTCGACGGTAAGGTTCACATATCTGATGGAGAAGATTTACTTGCTCAAGAGACCATTGCCTCAGAAGCCAAGTCTCAGGAGGCACCAGAAACAAGAAATACATACATTAGAAAACGAAAATCACATAAAGATACATATTTCGAGCACACATCTGTCGAGCACGATCAGAACGGAAAGAGGCAGCAAGAACCACCAGGTTCTTCAACCAGAAAGTTCAACAAAAATGAACGAATTAGCTTGCAACCGATTCCTTCTGGAAATATTCTTAACAATAACCCTAGTATTTTTGGGCACGTGAATAAAAACGCTAATTTCCAGCAGCTTCCGCAAAGTCTTCTTTTGCCTGGCATAAATAGCCAAGAAAATTCTAAATCAATGCAGCAATCAGCCCTACGAGGTAAATTTCCACATATGTCATTCAATGCCCCATCTCAGCAGTTACAAGCACTTCCTGCCAACCCGTCTTTGCATTTGTCTCAAAACTTACCTCAACAAATGCAGCAACAAGCTGTCAATCAAAACGTGCATTTTTCACCAACAGGGTCCCAACAATCTCAATTTTCAGGCAGCCAAAGGACGTCTCCATATCATATGCAGCAAAATTTGTCACCATCGCCTGCTCAGTCATCATATTTTAACTCACCTCCTGCTACTCAACCGAATTCTCAAATTTTCCAGTCCAATTCGTATGCTCCAGAAAATTCGAATGTTCCTGGTGCTCCCCAATACTTTGCTCCACCCCCACAAACTTTCCACACCAAAGTAAACTATGAAAATTCAAATAAATTAGGATCACTTTCTTCGTATGAAAGAATCGCTCAAACCACAGCAGCTGAGTCTTCCAAAGATGGTGGCCAACATCATCACCATCACCACCACCATCATCATGAACCTATGCCGATGGGGTCAGATCCCATAGGGGACATTAACTTGTCTGATGCTCCCCACAAAAATGATGCTGATCGTTTGGGAACTATTGGACTCGGACTTGGCACACCAGGAAGAGGAATCACAGTTCAAATAGGAGGAAGTCCTGGAGGGCTAGGCGGAGGAGGTCTGTTACCTCTAAGTGCGCTGGGAATGGCTAGAAATATAGTATCAGCCTTAATGCCTCGACCTGCACTAGGACTTAACTCTAAAGTTTTCGTTGGCTTAGAACTAGGCAGGGGAAGAGGTCTTCGATTGTTAGGATAGTTTTATTCGATCTCTTGAAGTTAATATAGTGATACACATGAAAAAATCTTAGAGTGATTGAACACTTAAATAGGCCTAGTAGTGTTAAAGAAGTATTTTAAGGGCATAAAATAGAGTTGTTTGTGTGATAAAAAAATGCTGTGATTTTTTAAAAAAAATATCTTTATTATAAATTGTGAATTTTTTTTATTTAAATGCATGTTTGTATTTTCAAAATATTTATAGAATATTATAACATGTAGAGATTCTTTTATAAAGATATTCACGTATTAACTGTTTGTAAGTTATTTTCCTTGTATGATACATAATGAATAATTTTAAATAAACTATTTAAGGTAGTTGCAGAAAGGAAATTTAAAATATTACAAGTTTTTAATAAGAGATTATCGATAAGACGTAACAAAAGTAATTAAAGTAGACTTAATAAAAGTAATTTACAATTTGTAGGAATTATTACGATAACTCATAAAAAAGTTTGATCTTCATCAAGCTTGATCTTTATGTCCTCATGCATCAAAAAGTTTAATCACATCCTATAAAATTAGCTGGAACGACGTTATTTTAATTTTTTTCTATTTGAAGCTAAAAACTGTTGATAATATTTTAGTAAGTTATATACATTTCTTTGTAAATAATAACGAACTCTAAGAGAAATGAAATAAAAGGAAAACATACGTCTTAAATACAACACAATTGTTGAAAGAATAAAATACAGTCAAACCTTCAAGGGATCGAAATTTCGGTTCACTATAAGCGGGAGTTCACTATATTCGTATTGCAAACCATTTTAATTAATTTTTCGAACTGGTTACTTTTATTACATATAATTTAAATAAATGACCAATGAAAAGAAATACAAAAAAAGATTAAAAAACAATAAAGGTACGGTAGCGAACATTTCGTTCACTATATCCGGGAGTTCACTATAAACCATGTTTACTATAGCGGGGTTTGACTGTATGTATAACTCATTCGATGTTGGAATGTTTTAAAAGAATGTATTTTTTCAATTGCTGAAATGAAGAAGAAAAAATAGTGTTAAATTTTATTTCCAGTGAAAAGAAATTTGATTTACCAAAAACTCAATGAATAGATTGTTTGGTTGTCAAAATCTCTTTTTGTCAAAATATCTTTATAAAAGGCTCATTGGCAAACTGAGTTCATGAGTATAGCGTACATAAATTTATTTTAAGGGCTTATAATATTCATTGGAGGCTCGAGGTAGAAAATAGCATACTATTTTGATGCAAAATGTGTAACTGTTTAAGTAAATCTAATTAGAAGAAAATAAAAGTTTTTCTGTAGAAAAAAGAGGTTTAATATTTTTTTAAGTAATATCTATTTTATATTTTCTAATATTTACTTATAATTTTAATATTTTTTTTAAAGTGTAAACATTTTACAAGTAAAACACGTTACTCTGCAACTTTATATTTTTTGGGAAGCTAAAAAATGATTAATACTGTATAAAATTAATATGCAAAAGACATTGCACGAAAATTTAGTTAAATGCGATTTCTACTATCTCTCTCTTTTGATTATTTTTTAAAAAAAATAGTTTGATATCTCTTGTTTCAAAAAGGTAAAATGAATTGTAGTTTTATATAGATCATCGCTTTGTAAATTTATTTACACAAACAAAAGAACTTACGTAAAATCTAACCAAAAACTTCCTTAGGATAATTTAAAAAATAACACTTCTCAAATTCATGACACTTCTTATCTTTAACACTGGAAAGACTGAAATACCTATATTGCCCAAAAGCAGTCAAAATGACTGCATTGTGAAAGAATAACTAAAGAAATTTGTTTCAAATTAATTTTTAACATTTTTGATATTATTCTCAGTTATATAACAAGTTATTAATAAATAACAACAATAAAAATAATTATAAAAGTCACAAAATTCTAAGAAATTGTGTCATCATATACATCATTGTTTTTCTAATTGAAATTAAAAAGCAGTCAAAATGACTTCCTTGGGCAATCTAGTGTTAACTAAGTGCAATTTTGACCAGGTGATATTTGAATAAGTGATATTTGACCGGGTTATAATTGACTAGGTGACAATAGATGAACTTGTAGGAGATAAAAGTCTTACATAATCTGTCACAAGACTGAAAATTTAATTTCATGAATAATATTCGTTGATGTGCCCATGGAAGATTTTTTTCCCGCGGGAATTTTGCAAAGTTAAATCTAAAGTGTCATCTAAAGTAGACTTTCTGTCAAGATAAAATTTGATAAAGAAAAAATATTCCTTCTTTAATTAATTCTTTTTCCGCACTCGAGTTTTGCACACGCGTCTAAATTTACATTCGTGATTAAATACGTATATCTATGAATTCAAATGCTTTTGAAGTCTAAACAGGCACACATTTAAAGATAAGCAAAAATGAAAACACTTCCAATCCTTGGCTAGTTCTAGGTAAAAGGTAAATATTATGTGGTAAACGCTTTGCATAGTCATTATATCAGGATGAAATTTGATGAAAAAAAAGTATTCATTGATATGTCTGGAGAAAATTTTTTCAAAACGAGTTGCAGGTTTTGTAGTAATTATAAATATTTTGGGCGCGTCAAAATATAATCAATTTTTGTTTTCATTCATATTGAAAAATTTGTTAATAATTTGTTAATCGACTTTATTAATTAAAGGAATTTAAATGATGAATAACTGTTTAATAAGTGCAAATTTGAAAAAAAAAATATAGTTTCCGAGTGATCTGTGTTTGTAAGATTTCACCTTTAACGCAAAGAAAGACACCGGTATTCCATGATATGCTTCATAGAAATAAATTGTAAAAATGCTAAAAATAATATTTTTCACTTATTTTGACCTAAATTATGAGAAAATAAGGAAAAGTATGAAAAATATATTTTATAAAAATTCTGCGTCAAAGGATAAGGGAACATTTAAAACGCAGAGAAATTCTAAACACTCCCAATCTTTTACTAGTTCCGTGTGCAATAGATAAAAACGGATTGATAAAAGCCAAGCCTTACATAATCTTTCCCATGAGGAAAGATTACATCCTGAGAAAAATATATGTCATCTGCAAAAATCAGTGAAATGGAGTGTTTAGCTTAAGGGCGAAAATGATTTGAATTAGAGCAAGTTTTGTGTCTGTCCCCACCCCGTACGTGGGAGTGTAAAAAAAGAGAAATACGAACCAGTTTTCAGATTGGAACAATAGATGATGGTGCACACTTATATCTAACTATTAAAAAAAGATTTCTCTTTAAGATTTAATTACCGAATCGAACACAAAGCGAATGTTTAGTTAATGGTCTTAATGGAGAAAGTAACGAGATAAACATATTCTCTTAAAATAGAGGTTAAGATGTATTAGTTTTGTATCAATTGATTTTCTATGGATTATAATTGTACTTCACTGTGCAGTTTTTCCTCATATTGTTTGTATTTTTTATTTATTTTTTTATTTACATGCATTAAGACAATGTTATCTGTGCCAGTTTGTTAAAGTGACTGGTATTATTATTTAAACAAACATTAATATTTTGTTTAGTGTGTTAAATATGTTTAATGTAATATATTTAATATTGCGTTAAATTAAATTCAAATTTTGAAATTCTAACTGTTTAAATACCATTATAAAACACTAGTTACAGGAACTTGAAATAATATCTTAAGCGTATCCAAGAGAAAAATGTTAACATTTATTGCACTGTAATTACTTTTAATCATTTTTGCTTTGAATACATAAAATAAGCGGAAACATATAATCTTATACATTCAGGTTTTAAAATTTCCTTGAATTTTTTTATAGTAATTAAAATAATCTGTTCCGCAAAGATGAATATTTTCTATGCAATACTCCAACGAAAAACAAATACACTGAAAAAAATATGGTCAAAATTACCAGAATATGGTAAAACTTATCCTGTTTCTGGCTCTATGGGAACACCAAAAAGTTCGGTAATATTCATCGAAGCGCTTTATATTGGTTTTGGTAAAATTAACAATAAAATACGGTTTTATAGTATCTATGTGATAAAATTTGGTAATTTTTCTGTTCGGTTTAATTTACTTTTTAGTTTTGAATTTTTAACTAAAAGAGTGGTAATAGAGGAATTGTAAGTTTGAGAACCGGAATTTTCGATTAGCCGTTACCATACGATCGGAAAAACTACCAAATGAATTCAAATACCGTACATTTTGGTTTTTGATACCAGAATTACCAGAATGTTGCTGTTTTTTTTTTTTTTTTTTTCGGAAATGTAANGCAGAATTTTTTTTCACCGTGCATATAGTGCTGATGGATTCCTAATCAAGTTTAACTTAAACCATGCATTTTAATTAAAATTTATTTTCTTAGATATCATTATCTTAACTCCCTAACAACTCAAACTCTCGTAATCTCATATGTGCTCTTCCTTCAAAATGCTAAAAAATTGGTTATTCAATTATTTAATTAATTAAATTTTCTTTCCGGGAAACAAAAATTCACATTCTCGTCCCTTAAGCCTTTTCAGTGAAGTGTTACTAGTCTGTCAACATTTAATCCATAAAAAATCACTATAAATGTAAAACTATGTATTTGCTTCAAAACATTCACCAATTTTCGCCGCCTGTTTTCGAAGTGGCTTAAGGGTTGCTGGAACAAAATTTGCTGCCGAAACTTGCTGCTCTGCAAAGGGTTAAAATATATTAGTAATATAAATAGAATTTTTTGATTTGAAAAAACATTTTTGAAATATTTTTTATACTAAAGTGTTTGTGTTATTAGAAATTAAACACTTAGATTTAGTGCTAGTTCTTTACCCACCTTTTTCAAAAAGGAACTTCTTAAATCACCACCATAAAGGATCCCCTATATTAGTCCCTGACGATGTCTAGTTAGAAAAAATTTAATTTTTAAATTTTCTTTCATTTTTTTACAGCTTCTAAATTGACACTTTTCAAATAAAGTTCTTCTATGTATTATTTATAGAACTTTTAAACATAATGGGTTTAAATATATTTTTTTAATAAAAATGTAAACGCATGCTTACGACCAAAAGTATCATTAATGCATAAAAAAAAATTCGATCCAATTTATAGTTAGGTAACTCAAAATTTCATCTGGTAAATAAGAAAAATATGAAAAAGGATTTGTATTAAAAAGGTATAATAATAAGAGTCAAAAGGATTTTTTTTTACTCAAAAAAATATTCTTCTATTTTTCTTAAGTTTAATATTATTTTAGGTATTACGTTTTGGAAGCAACTAAGATTTTTACATCGGGGAAGCAACTATCTTTTGGATGGTAATTGCGATAGTAGTGCGAAATTGCGATAACCTTACTATTGTAATTGTTTCAACAGTTCCGGTGCAGACTTCCCACCCAAAATAAGTTCATAAATAAAATATTGTACATTTAGAATAACTGTTACTCTTGTGATTTTGCTTTCCAAGACCAAATAATATCTTTAAGAAATTATAAAAGTAAGATTTAGACTTTTAAGGAGGTACATCGAAGAAAAGAATCTCGGTATTTAACTGTAATTTTTTTTTCTCTTGAATTGCGCACACAGTTAAAAACTACATATTTACAGAGGCACGAAGTAAAAGATACTGATAACTTCACCAGCTTCGAGAGTTGTTAAAAATACTTAAATCGAATTATTTAATAAAAGTACTATTCAGAATAGGATGTTGCAGAGTGTACTATCGTAGGCTATATATATATATATATATATTTNTATATATATATATATATAAATTAGTTAATTAATGGATCAGTTCAGTAGTTTTTT